CCGGGCAGCGGCCAGAGCGCCGGAATGCAGCAGGCAGGTGGCATGTGCCCGGCGGGTCCGGGCGGCGTGTCCACCACCGGCAATCCCTACCAGAATCAAGGGTGGGTTCTTTGAATTTATTTTTCTTTAATCATTTAATATAATATATTTTATTTAGTTTCCAGCAAAATTATCAGCACAGTCCAGTTCCTGGCAATCCCACGCCACCACTGACGCCCGCCTGCAGTGTGCCCTATGTCAGCCCCAATCCGGACATCAAGCCACCTATGGACAACAGTAAGTGCAAAGAAAAAAGATTCGATAAAAAATAGGGTAATTTCTACCTTATTTCATATCAATAAAAAGCCGATAATGTCAAATTTATGATTTGATATTTTATCCTTTCAAAATGATATGAATAACTTGATATTTTATCAATTTCTGAGTATATTATATTCTAATATTTCATTTCCATTTTTAGGCGAAGAAATGAGACTGACATTCCCGGTGCGCGATGGCATCATCCTGGCTCCTTTCCGCCTGCTGCACAATCTGTCGGTCAGCAACCACGTGTTCCATCTCAAGCAGAATGTCTACAATACGCTGATGTGCAGGTAGGATATATAGATAATATTTTTATGGATTGATTTAGCTAATTTGGATTTGTTTAAATAAATTACCAGAACCGACTTGGAGCTGCAGCTGAAGTGCTTCCACCAGGACGACCGGCAGATGAACACCAATTGGCCGCACACCGTCACCGTCTCCGCGAATGCCACGCCCCTGAATATCGAGCGGTCCGAGAAGAACAGCACCGCCCTGCGGCCGCTCTACTTGAAGGCCGTCTGCCAGCCGGGACGGAATACGCTCCAGCTGACCGCCAGTTCCTGCTGTTGTGTAAGTGTTTAAAAAAGAAAATATTTAAAAAATATTAAAAAGATATAAAATATATTAAATAAATAAATAAATATTCAATAAATAATTCCATAAACATTCAATAAACATAAAAAATATATTAAAAAATATTAATTCAATAAATATTAAATAAATGCTAAATAAATAAAATAAATATAAAATTAAATATTAAAATAATATCTAAAATTTTAAAATTAATTTAAATCCCTTTCTTTAACCTCCACAGTCGCACCTGTTCGTGCTGCAGCTAGTCCATCGACCCTCGGTGCGCCAGGTGCTGCAGACGCTGCACAAGCGCAACTTGCTGCCCCTGGAGCACAGCGTGCAGAAGATCAAGCGCAACCTGAGCCAACCCGAGACGAATCCCGGATCGGAGGCCACGCCCCAGCAGCAGCAGCAGGGCGGCGGCGGCGGGCAGCAGTGCGCCAAGATCTCATTGAAGTGCCCCATCACCAAGTCAAGGATACGACTTCCCGCCAGGGGACACGAGTGCAAGCACGTGCAGTGCTTCGACCTGGAGGCCTATCTGATGATCAACAGCGAGCGGGGATCGTGGCGCTGCCCCGAGTGCAGCAAGTCGGCCATCACCGATACCCTGGAGATCGATCAGTACATCTGGGCCATACTCAATACGCTGGGCAACTCGGATGTGGACGAGGTGATCATCGACTCGTCGGCCAACTGGCGGGCGCTGCAGCACAACGGCGGCATGCCCAATGCACCGCCTCCCTCGAATGTTCCTAGCAATCCCAGTGGCGGCAGTGGATCCGGTTCCGCGAATGGAAATGGAAGTGGCAACAGCACCACCCTGCCGGCCATCAAACAGGAACTGTGCGACGACATCGCCAAGGTCATGTCGCCGGGATCCACCCAACTGCCCACCTGGGACAGTGCGCAGGCGATGAGTCCCTACAACATGCACGACATGAACTCCATTGCCAGCGGCAATATGATGGGCAACGGCGGCAACACCAACCAGCAGTGAGTTTTGAGTTTAGAGTTAATATATTTCAGAAATTTAATTGTATTGTTTTTTATCATTTCTAGTGGCAATCGCAGCAGCTACGACGGCTTCAGTGGCAATCACAGCGATGGCAGTGGCGGCCTGAACGGCAGCGATGGCGGCGTCAACTCCCTCGACCAGCTGAATGCCATGGAAAAGTCACTCAGCGATCAGGTAAGGAATTAAAAAATATATAAAATATATATTATAATATTTTTAAGATATAATAATATAAAAAAATAATAATATAGCAAATATTTATACAAAATAGTTAACTCATTCTAGAATTATTTAAAAGACACTTTTATTAATAGAAAACAGGCTTTCTAACAAACGAAAATATTTTAAAATATAATACAAAAATAATTATTACTTGGCAAAGAAAACAAAAAATATTATAGAATATTACAGATTCTAGTTCGGGTATATAGCCAATATTATGAATTTTGTCAGTTTTGTTTTACCTAAAAAAAATATTCTTAAATCCTAACTAAATTCCATATTTTTCCTTTCTATAATTTAAGTATTATATATTAAAGACTCTAGTGCGGGTAGATCAATATAATAAATTGTTTCCTATATTTTTTTATCTATCTATATATCTCTATCTAATTTAAAAAAAATGTTCTTTTTTTTTTAAAAAAAAAAAATATTGTAAAAATCTTTTACTTAACTGCATATTTTTCCTTTCTATATTTTAGATGCCCCACACCCCGCACACTCCCGGAGCGGCCAGTCATCCGATGACCCCCGGCGGACCGCCCAGCGTAAGCAGCTCCCACAACGAGCCCATCAGCGGCGGTACGCCCAATGCCAACGGAAGCGGAAGCGGCAGCAACGGCAGCGGCAACAACAACAACAGCAGCACGGGCCACAACTCCCCGCAGACGCCGGGCACGCCCAGTCGGATGGGCGGCGGCGGCGGAATGGGGGGCGGGGGAGCGGACAGCCAGCAGCAACAGCAGGAGCAGCTGCTCAACTCGCTGATGAGCAGTCAGACCCAGTTGAAGTTCAGCGAAAGCGATCTGAGTGCCGAGCTGCAGAGCTTTGATGCGGCGGCAGCGGCCATTAATGATACAGCCCACGATCTGAATGTGAGTATTAAGATATATATTTGTAAAAAAAATAAAAATACTAATTTTAATATTTTCTTAAACCATTTTTAGCTACTGCAGGACGTGGATCCCATGGAAATCCTGTCCTATCTCGATCCTCAGCCCGATCTTAACACTCCGCCCTCGAGTGGCAGCAGCAACAACAACGCCAGCGAGGATTTGCTAGCCACGTTATTTGACTAGACCTAATGAAAACTAAATGGCGAAAAGCTGAGAGAGAGTTGGAGAATTGAAATGGCAGAAATACCATAAATTGTATATAGTATTATTAATTTTAATGAAATGTGCACTAGAAGCCAGTCGCTTACTTCAACCAACATTTTCGTTTCCTCACACAAACCAACAGCAGCAACAAGTAAAACCACAAAAATGGATAAACTATTACAAACAACACACTGGATGAGAAATCGAAGCGGAAATTTGAATTTGCCCGTGTTGAAAAACAATGAAATGTGATTTAAAAATTAATTAATTAAATTAATTGGCATTTAATTTAAAGCTAACGACGAAAAAACCCCATAAAAAACGAAAAAAAAACTACACACACACACACAAAAAGCGTAAAAAAATAACAAACAGTCATTAAACCATATAAAAAAAAAGAAAAACAATCAATTCAGTTCAGAGCATGAAAATTCCTTCAATGAAATTTACGAATTTAAAATGCAGCAGAAAGTCCTTTGTTCGTTTATTTGGAAATTACATTTTTTGTTTGCCTTATCCCAGACTTTTGTTGCAAAATGTTTCTTGTTCATTTACTAAGTATTAAAAATATATTAAAAAAAAAGAGAGAGTTAAATCAGCAACAACAAAAAAGCATGAGCAAAGAAAAACAAAAGCGAAAAAAATGAGAGATACAAAATACATACAAGTGAAATCCCAACAATTTTATTACATTTATAAAATGAAAACATTTACATTTTAATTGTTGCATAATTTTAATTATTTTTTAAAGCCTATCTACATATAAAAAGTAATTGATTTAGCTCGGTAAATGATAAACGAAATTTAACAGAACAGCGGAGAAAATATTAAGAATTATTAACTATAACGAACAGAAAGTAAATGTGTATAATTAAGTGACAAAGCAAAACTGCATAATTAGCGGAAGAGAGAAACAAACTATTAAAAGTGTAAATCAAATTTAATGCTAGATCTAAAATATATTGTATATATGGATATGTATGTTATATATGCGGCAACAACAAAAACACAACCCCTCCCCCAAAAAACACACACACACAAAGCTAATTAATACATTTAAATAATGATAATAATAAATGAAAAAAAACAAAAAGTATTTCAAAACTAAAATTATAGTGTTATGATTTGATTTGCGTTTTATTTCCCCACACAATTCCCCCTTATTTTGACTATTTTCACTTCAGTTCCGTCTTACGTTCCTCTATATGTTTCGTACGATGTGGTTAACATGGACCAATTTTTATATACAAATATATATGTATAACACCCACACACCGACGAGTCTTTGAATAGAGTATATATGCGAACTATATATAACGGAAAATATATATATTCATGTACGTATCTGATATGATATTCAAATATAGCGAAATTTTTAAGCTTTGCCCAGGCTAATTCCCAATTCAGCGCTTAACAAAACGAAAGAAAAATCGAAAACTCGAAAAATTTACGCAAAATCGCCTCGATGTGGTAGTTAAATGAATCTCAATCTCTTCTCAATGTTATCAAGAACACAAGTAATTAAATTATTATATATACACGTATATCCAAAAAGCGAAAAAGAAACAAAATTCGTAGTGGTTTCATTGTAAAACAATATTTCATAATGATTAACGAACAATTTAGCTTCAAGATTTCGATATTCCAGTTCGAATTCTTCTCTCGCTTAATGAAAAACGACACGATTTATGATTAACGGATAATGGATAAAGATTAACAATATCGGTAGGCAGTTGGGATGCGCAAATGTGATTTTATTCAAAATAAAATACACATAACCATGATTACAATTAATGAAGATTTTTATTTGGATCTGTGGGATCGTTCGCTGGATGCTGCGAAGGCTGCGAAGGAAGAGAGTTGTACATACGAGTATTTAACTAACGTAATCTTTATGAATGAACATGGTATATATCTGATTATATATAATATGTTTAAATTTAGTCCATAAGCTGTAATTTTAAACGATGGAACAAAAGCAAATACACATTAAATAATATGAAGAGAAATAAACCAAGTAGCAGTATCAGTTTTAATTCCAGCGGCTCTTCTTGGCCCGTTTGGCATCCAGGTTGCTGCTGCTGCTGCTGGAGGAAGCTCCCTGGGATGATGATGATGAAGAAGATGGTGGCGGCGGTGCCATTGGTGCGGCAAAAACCCCGGAGTCTGGCAGAGTTTTCTCCCAAGTTCGATCGCTGGAGGCTCGAAATTGGTTGTTATACTGGGATCGAAAGGCCTCCCTCATGGCAGCGTAGCGATCTGTGGCAGGACCTGCGCTGGAGGAGGACTTATTCGAGGGTCCTTCGGGAGGGACTAGCACTGACGGCAGATTTCCATGCCACCAGAGGATCCAAAACCACCGCCATTTCCCCGCTCCCGATAGCCCAATCCTGTGTGGGTATTGGTCGGCCTCTTCCCTTTGCCCTGCTTAAATCGCGAACTGCGGAACCAGGAGCTCTTCATGGCCAACTCCATTAGATCCTCGGGCACCAACTGATCGGCGCCCTCCAAGTTGCGCACCAGATGTCCGGCAAACTCCTTGTCCTTGTCGGTGACCAATGTAAAGGCATTACCCTTTTCGCCGGCTCTGCCCGTTCTTCCAATTCGATGCGTGTGCGTGTCAATGTCCCTGGCGATATCGTAGTTCACCACATTCCTGATGTGCGGTATGTCCAATCCTCGGGCCGCCACATCGGTGGCCACCAAAATATCGCACTCTTTCCTCTTAAACTGCGTAATAACCTTGTTCCTGTCCGCCTGATCCATGTCGCCATGGAGCAGCAAGCAGTTATATTCCTTGACCAGCAGATTATTGGAAACTGTTTCGGCATCTGCTTTCTTGGTCACGAAAATCAGGACGCTGCCTTCGGAGAGGAACTTCACCAGGTGGCAGAGCAGCCAATTCCATTTCTGCAGGGGATTCGGGAAGACATATACGGACTGGGTGATGTCCTGGTTGGCCTCGTTGAGATCTCCCTGCACAATTCTCACCGGATCGGTGAGCACATCCCTGGCCAGGCGTTCGATTCGCTTCTTAAAGGTGGCCGAGAACATCAGGCACTGGCGATCCGGGCGTACGTGGTTGCAAATGGAGCGCACCTGGGGCTCGAAGCCCATGTGGAACATGCGATCGGCCTCGTCGAGCACCAGGAAAGTGACCCGCCTCAGATTGGTGGCCTTCATCTTGACCATATCGATCATGCGCCCCGGCGTGGCCACTATAATCTCGGCTCCCTGCTCCAGCGCCTTGCTCTGCTCCCACTTGGAGCCGCCGCCGTAGCAGCAGACCACGTTCAGGTTGTAGACCTTGCCGAACTTCTTGGCCTCGTTGTAGATCTGCAGCGAGAGCTCGCGCGTGGGGGCGAGAATCAGGCCGATGGGTCCATCGCCTGGCTTCAGCTGCCGCTGATCCATCAGGTGCATTAGCATCGGCCAGATGAAGGCGGCCGTTTTGCCGGAGCCCGTCTTGGCTATGCCAATGATATCTCTGCCCGAGAGGGCGGTGGGCACCGCCTGCGCCTGAATGGGCGTGGGCTGGGTGTATTCCGCCTTCCGCACCGCCTTGATGAGCTGCTCGTCGAAGCCGAAGTGGCCAAAGGAGGTGACCGGCTTGGGTGGCGAGGGCCCCGTGACCTTTACGCCCAGCGTGCGCCGCAATTCGCGCACCTGATCCTCGTCCAGGGCGGCTATGTCCTCGTGCTGCGTGTAGAAGTTTTTCTCGAACGGCTCGTACTCGATTTCGGAATGGTAGATGGGCGGCAGCGGATCGATGTCCTTCTTCTTGGGCGGCGCTATGGGATTACCGTCCTCGTCGTACTCGATCTCCTGGTCGGAGCCCTCGTCGCGCAGTCCCGCATTGGGATTCTCCTTCATGTAGCGATAGTAGCTCTCCTCGTCGTCCTCGTCGTCGATGTCGCCCCGAATCGCCTGAGTCGGCGGCTTGGGCGCCTGCTGGCGCTTCTCCTTCTCCACCTGCTGGTTAATGCCGGCCATAAACTGCTCCAGTGGGTCCTCATCCGAGTCGGAATCCTCCTGCTTCTTGCCGGAAGGGGCAGGAGCTCCTGGGGATCCCGGTGCCGGGATGTAGGCCTGTTCCATCTCTTTTTCCCGCGGTCCCTCGTCGTCGTCGTCGAAGTAATCGTCATCCGTGTGGTGTTTCCTCTTGCCCACTAGGTTAGTGGCATTGGTGTACTGGCTAATGGAGTCCAGCGTGGAGTAGCCGTGCTTGGAAGTGGATGTTGTGGTGGTGCTTCCGCGGGCAGCGCCTCTCGCCGCCGAAAGGGACGCTCCTCCTCGGGGGGCGCCCACATAGCCACGGGCATTCAGCATCGGGGGAGGCGGCACGGCGTTCATGTTGTTGCCGGAACTGGCCGACTTGCGGTAGGGGAAGCCCCCGCCGCCGATGCCTCGGTAGCCGCTCATCGTGCTCCAATTCCGCAATCTCCAATTCGTATTTTAGTTTTTAGCAATTTCAATCAATATTAGTGGCTGAAATATATTTTTGATATCGCGATATATCGAGGCGTGTCCATCTCTGGAAACCAGCTAGCCGATACACGCTCCTAATGTAGCTGAGACCTTCTCCACTTAGTGAGTTCTCAAACTAAGCAACGGTTAGAATTATATTTAAATGGGATTAAACAATCAATTTGTTTATTAAACACACAGCTCTTAAAATAGTGTTTACACTTTTGACCATTTAGTTTTTTCGACTGTCATAAAAAGCACTTTCGATAAATAATCCATGTAATTTTTTATCCATTTCCATGCTTTAGAAATATATTATTATTTTTTTTTTACCAAATTATATTTTTTGCTTCATTATTTGAGATACAAAACTAAAGTAAAGACAGACTAGTTTTAAATTGAATGACAATTACCGCCATGCGCTTATCGATAACAAAAACGATGGCAATTGACACAATTTTTCCTTCCCTCAGTGTGCACACACTTTTTGGGGCCGAAAGAGAAAACAATTGTTGCGTTTGTTTACAAATATTAGAAAAAATAAGAAATGCAAGCGGATATTAACAATGTCTCCAGGGATTACGCCAAGATCCTGCAGAGCGCCGATCTAGAGAAGGAGATCAACCCACTGTGCACGAATATAGATGATATGCTGGCCAGGTTGGATGAGTTTGAAACTTTGCTGGCTTCGGTTAGTAGTTTTTATTAAATTAAAACCTTCTTTTAATTACTTTTTAACTTTTAGGTGCGTGCCGAGTCCAATGGAATGATGGCCAACAATGTGTGCAGCATCCTGGGATTCGGAGATAGTTTCGAGCAGTTAAAAACTAGAATAGATGGTCTGGAGCAATTCGTAGGCGCCGTAAGTGCAAATTTGTCAGAAGTCGAAAGAAACGTGGATATTGCCGAGGAGGAACTCCATGTCACGGACTACAGCCTTAAAGGCCTTCTGCTGAAACCCCTGAAAGCCAAGCTGAGTGCCAGCGATTCCGCACCACATCCAACTCTCTGCCAAGATCTAATCTCATTGAGGAGGAATACCAACCTGTAGAGATCTACAAATCCGATGATTACTTCGGAAAATCTCAGGATCCAGCAGTTGAGGAGGGAGAACTAACTAGCTAGATAACTCTACATTTAGTAAGCAATTAGCCAAAGAGTCATTTGTTTAAGGGTTTTGCAATGAAATGGCAATATATGGAGTAGAAATTCCATTTGAGGGTCCTTTTGCCTGTAGAAAATCCCAAAATATTTTTATAAACCTTGTTAAATACAAACAGCTTATTTTATAAAGCTTTATAAAGGCTTTAAATTTATATATTTTACCTATTTTCTATAATTGCATAAAGTTACAGATTGAATGGAAAAAACCAAATCAAACAGTCATATTTTCATTGTTTATATTAGGGTTTTTGATTTTTCTGATGCCTTATTAACATTGAGATAATGTATACCATAACTGTTAGCTAGATGAAACCCATAAATATTTAGTGATAATTAGCGTTGCTTACGTAAACGTTCAATTTTTTTTTAACGAGTAGCACGTCGTAAAAATGCTCTAATTTATACGGGGAAGCCCGGGGCGGTTCTCAGTAAAAAAAATTTGTTGACAAAAATTAAATTAAAATTTATTGTGGGAAAAAGATTATACGTATCCGCCTTAGTCTAAAACATATATCATTTATATATATTGTCAGGTGTGTAAAAATTTTAGGACATAATTATATAGTGAGTTACTAGCTAAGATGCACGAATAATAATAACTAGATGTCGGATTTTATGAGAAGCAATATTTAAAAACCAAACAAATTGGCTAGACGTTGAAATTTTTTCTGTAAGCATTTTGAAAATAAGCTAGTAAAATGTTAAGCTGACCCATTTTTGTATCTAATAACTGATGTTAATATAAACCCGTCTATTTGATTTCTTTTTCCCTAAATATTTGTTGAATAATTAACAGACAGTCTTTTTTATATAAGCATGTAAATATTTTTGTTTATTTTAGTTCGTTTTCTTTGACTACAAATCTCGTGACGGTCCAATTAGCGACTTTTGGGCTTTGAAGCTTAGGCCTTGGCTTTCTCCTTGCTCTCCTTGCTTTCTTCGGAACTGGAAGAGGACTTGTCGGCATGCTTGTTCTTCTCGAAGAGCTCGGCCACGGGGATGGGATGGGGAATACTCGGATGGTGGGCGGCGGATGGGGTGGTGCTTCCGAGATCCGACTTTGTGGTGGCTGCAGGTGCGGCGGTGGCCTTGGTCTGAGTGGGCACGGGAATATCGCGCTGATGACGCTGCTCCGGGGCCTTTCCACCGGTCAGGGAATTCTAGAGCCTTTTGGAGCCCCTCGGAATGCTGGGGACTATGCTGGATGGACTCACGGGCCTTGACGCTGTCGGGTTTCTCCACAGTCTCGCGCTTCTCCTGCTTTTTGGGCAACTCCGCGGTGTGAGCCTGCGTGGGAAGAGCATGGGGCAGTGAAAGATCCTCCACCTGGGGCTTCTCCTCCTCTTTGTGACCCTCCTCATGATGGGCCTCCCGCTTTTCCTTCTTCTTCTCAGCAACACCGATCAGAGCTACGGGAACCACGGGAGCATCCTTCTCCTCTTCGCTCTGGGGCTTGACCTCCTCCTCCTTGTGTCCCTCCTCGTGGTGAGCTTCCCTCTTGTGCTTGTGGTCATGGGGCTTGGCATCATCATGGGGAGCAGCTGGGGTGGGCTTTTGGTTATGGGGATTATGCTGCAGCTGCTCATGGGCCTTCACGCTGTCGGGCTTCTTGGGCTCATTGCGCTTCTGGCGATTCACAGCGGTGGCATCCTTCAGCAGGACTACCTTTTCGGTGGGCTTGGGATCCACAATCACATCGGGACTGATGGGACTGGGTCTGGAGAGCGCCTCGGACGAGGACTCCTTGACATCCAAAGGTGCTGCCCGGCAAAGAGCCACCAAGGCTAAGAAAACAATCTAAAGGAAATTCGAGGAAAATCGAATTAATTAATTAGTTAAATATTATATATTAAAATATATTTTATTTCCGAAGTTCAGGAAGTTTTATTTATGTTATTTAAAAATTAACAAACCAGGAATATTCTATTTTATTTTAAATTAGCAAAATTGTAGAATTTTCAAAAAACTACAAAAGAAAGATTAATTTCCAATTAAGGATCTACACAAATTTGTATCCAAAAACCAACACTTTGACATTTTCGTCAGGATCATATTTCTTTTTCACCAGAACTACTCTCTTTAGTTACTTATTAATTTATTTTTAAGACTTTAGAATACCAGAGATCTTCACTTACAACCGACTTCATGTTGACCGCTTGGAAATGGGACCCAAACTGCTGCTCTGAGCATCGAGCCAACCCATTTTATGAGCCCAACGGATCGGAGGCTTCTCCAGTTGGTCGGCAGTGGCTGCTAACCAGTTTGTAATTCGGTGCTAATTGCGAATAGATGCACGCCAAGTGCACGGAACCCGTTCGCTATGTAAATCTCCCCGGCGTCGACTGCTTTTCCACGTTGATATTGATAAGTCTGGCTAATTATAACCCGAGAAAATCGGCGTCAAGTGCGCCCGGCTTCTCGAAAAAGCTGAATATGGATATGGAATAAAAAAATATGGAGAATAAAAGCGAGTTAAGGCGGCGAAATGGGCTCAAGGCTTAGTCATTTCAGCGCCATGCACGGATCCACATCTGCCGGCTATTTAGCACTGGCTTGCAAAAAAGTTAAGCTTGGCTAACTAAAGTTAAGTATTCCCGCAGCTAATTTGAAGAGCACATAAATATGGATCGCGAGGCACTTGTAATTACGCCCTTTACGTAAGGCGACAGGTAAATATATCAATTGGTCGACGTTTTCCCGGAACTGTACTTCACGGCAATTGTGTTGGTTTGATTGATCGAGTAATTGCTCTGAATTAATATCCAATTTCGATTCAAATAAATCTGTCTAGAAGTTTTTGTGAGATAGATATTGACATGATTCTATTTTATTTGCTTAAAAAGGACTATCAAGTCAATTATAATGCATAAAACATGTCTTAAAGGGTGCCTGCTTAAGCTTATAGTTAATATACTACTAATAAATAATACAAGCAAATTAATTTCAAAATTAAATAATTTACGCGCCCAAACAGTGTATACACACCATAAAACTGAAGGTGGTGTAATTTGGTACTTTTTCCATTTCAACATTAGGCACACACTGGTAGTCTGTGTTTTGGTTATTATTCCTCCATTTTTCCCGAAAAACGTGTAAATAAAGTAATCTAAAAGTAAACAAATCAAAATGCCAACGGAAATCGAGAATATAAACCCCAATGTCTACGACAAGATCAAGGAAAGAGTGCTGACGGCCAACGATGAGGACGAAAATGTATCCGATCCCTTTGATAAGCGTGAGATTTTTGGTGAGTTTTTGGAATGTCAGTGAGGGAACCACTGCCTTATAAATGGTAATCCACAGATCTCATTAGGAACATCAACGACCCGGAGCACCCGTTGACCTTGGAGGAGCTGCATGTGGTGCAGGAGGATCTGATCCGGATAAGCGATGGCCAGAACTCGGTGCACATCAGTTTCACCCCGACGATTCCCCACTGTTCGATGGCCACTTTGATTGGCCTTTCCATTCGGGTGAAGTTGCTCCGCTCGCTGCCGCCCCGCTTCAAGGTCACCGTGGAGATAACACCCGGAACCCACGCCTCCGAGCAGGCGGTGAACAAGCAGTTGGCGGACAAGGAACGAGTGGCAGCCGCCTTGGAGAACAAACACCTCGCCGAGGTGATCAACCAGTGCATCTCCGCCAGGGGCTAAATACTTGATTTTATCCTTCTTATAAATATGTATACACATGTGCTGTTGGTTTAGTAATAATAATAATGATTTAATAGAAGACTTTTATGTATCTACATACATCAGTACGGTAACGTTTTTCCAGAGATTTTGAAGAGTGGCTATGGGTGATTCTTGGTTTTTTATTCCTACATATATAATGACAGCTTAAATTTTAAAGCTTTTTATCTCAATATTTAATTATAGTTGCTATTAGACAAGCTCAATAATTATTGATTGGCCAGTTCTAACCATCCCAAGTTGATATCAATGGGAATTCCCTTCTACAGAAACACTTTAGGAGCTCTATTTTGGGGTTGTAGAGCAACTACATGTTTCGCAGTAGGTGCTTAAAATTAAGAACGACGGTTAAATTGAGATGTTGCCATTTTAAAACTGTCAAGTGATTCCCTGAATAGAATTAAAACCTATCCCAACAAATAACCAAGGTCAGCAACTAGGGAATCTTGTCTGGTTCTATTGATTAATGGCTTTTTACGTGATAATAACAATTTGGATTTTATAGACTTGTTTCCGGGCTGCAATTATTACAAAGTATATTAGCTATTCTAATTTTGTCTGAAGCTACTTCTACCTGATGCAATTTTCAATATTTTTCCATAATAGTAATATTTATGACACAATTCTTCACAATCTAGTTGAATATAAAGCCTTATCGCATCTGAAGTGAACACATTACTACCTTTAATTTATGGCTGATCATTGTATGTACAATTGTAAGTCATTTTTGTTTTCGAATGGAGTACATTCCTTTGATTTACTCTCCAAATTAAGTTTTATAGTAAAATCCGCTCTTGTACATTTACAAATTATATTTTAGCAGCAAAACGATTGGTGTTTCAAGGAGGAATACTATCGACTAAAGGGTTAAATTAACGTAACAAGACACAGCGCTCGGCGGCGGTCACAGGTTGAAGGTGGGAGCACTATCGCTGCTTGTTTGGCGGCTCCTTTAACCGCATGTGCGGCTCCGCAGAGATGCTTTTGGCTGCTTTCGTGGGATCGAACTTGTACGTCTTGACCAGCGGACCCTTGCCGGCCTTGGCGAACCGAATCTCGTCCAGGCGCTGCCGCTCCTCGATTTCCTTCGAGATCTTCATGTTGTCCCAGGCTAAAAAGAGAATTCAGATCAGAAATGGGGACAGGAAACAAGGCAATCCTCTTCTACTTACACTCCTTCATTCCCCCGACGAATCCCTTCTTGGGTGGCAGTGCACTCGGCGCGTGGGTCAGCATTTTCTCGATCTTAAAGTAGTCCCTGACGGAGGGAATCCTGAGCAGAGCCACCTGACCGAGCGAAATGAAGTTGCTGCAGGCCCAGTAGGTCAGAATGGCGGCGGGGAAGTTCATCGTGAAGGGGAAGATCACGATGGGCAGGGCGCGCAGCACATATTTCATGGTGTTCATGCTGGCGGCGGACAGGCGAGCCGAGTCCGTGCCGATCTCAATGGTCAAGTACAATGTGGCACTGGTGATCATGGGCAACAGGTAAAAGGGATCCGCCATGGTGAGATCGGTGAACCAGAAGAGGCCACCGTCGCGCATCGATTCTACCGGGGCATTGGCCATCTGTCGCAGGCCCATGAAGAAGCTGATGAAGAGCGGAGCCTGCGCGAGTGGAACCACCATGTTCTTGAGCGGATTGACGCCCTTTTCCCGCATGAACAGCATCATTTCCTGGGCATAACGGGCGGATTCAATGGCATTTCCCGACTGCCTGGCCTCGGTCATCTTCAGCTGCAGCATCTGCATCTGCGGCATGTTGTTGTTCATCTTGGCCGAGTTCCTTTGGGCCAAAATGACCAACGGGAAGATGATGGTGCGCACGGCGAGGGTGCCCATGGCGATGGCTCCCCACCAGGGGATCTCCCAGGTGCAGTGAATGAACTCCATGCAGTTCTGGACGAGGCCCACGGGCGACCAGCCGCCCAGTCCGATGGAGGCGAAGGAGGGTTCGCCCGCCAGGTTGACCACATCCATTACACTCAAGCTGTCGACGGGCGTCGGAGGGATTGGGGCGGCCGGTATGTCGGGTAGGTCCACCAGCTCCGTTTTGGACACTGCCTGCATGAACTCCCCACTTTGTGCGGCCGAAACTCCCGCTGCAGTTGCTCCACTGCTGGCGAAACGCAGCTGGCCGGGACTTGACCATTTCCCGCTCGATACCAAGGGCAAACTGCTTCCCCTAGCCATCCTCTGCAGGTGGATATCTCTTCTGCCCGCCGTGTTACCCTGAAACACAACATTTTCATTTAATTTCGCGTAAATTTAGGCACTCAAAACATTGCCAACTTGCAGGTTATGTCACAGGTCGCCGGCTGATTTCCAACGATTTTCACTCACCTGTTGAGGGAAACGGCTGCTGGCGGAACTCAGGGCCATCGCCGCGTTCGTTGTCCTCCAAAGCTGCATCCTGTGGGCCAACATTATGGGATCTGTGCTCGCGATTTGGTCAGATTTAAATTGTTAAATTTATTTCCTCCTCGTTTTGGTCTGTGCAGGGGCGAGCGAGATGGCTAGAGACACGCCGACGGGTGAATGTCAAGGAAGAAGCAGAGTCACAGCTGTTCGGGCAAAGCGCCCCCAGGCGGAATTAAATGGAACTATTGTTTACCGCTGAAATTTGAATTTCAATTATCTTATTTCTTGAAATGGATAAAGTTGCATAAAGATAATTTCCTCAACACTCACTTGAAAATTTGGCACACGACCCAGTATGGTCACAATATCCACATCAGCCTTTTGTGGGATTTAGTTTTGCTTAGATTTATTATTCATTTGAAGTTTATTTTTAGTAACCCTCCAGTGACAAAAAATAAAGAGTCTACTCTATGAGATCTTTAATACATTTATTAAATAGCAACCAAAGTTGTTAGGTATTAATTTGGGTTAACAAATTAGAATAGTTTAACTGAAAAAATCGTATTAATTAATGGCACTTTGAATGTTTGTAAATTGAACATACTTATTTGGAATCCATTTCAAACAAATGTGGCATGCAAACGTAACAATATGTATAGAACAAATTTAATAAACATCCAACTACTTCCTTCTTTGTTGAAATCTAAATATAGAACCAATTTATTAACAAATATTTCACAATTTTTTTTCAATACTCACTTATTTTAAAACGTATTCCTTTAACAAATGCAAATTGCGTCATGAAAATGGAATGTAACAAACAGCGAAAAAATTTGAAAATTCAAAGTAAGTTTATGAAATCCCCAAATACTCGGAGGGATATATTTAAAGAGGAGTTCCTTTGGTTAAAGCTGAAAAAATAATGTCTATGTTACAAAATAAATATTTCTGAAAAAATACGTACATTTGACTTTGGATATCCATTTCAGACGGTGTTGGGTGGCTCACCCTTGACACCGCGAGGTCCCAGTTGGGCCAAGTATATTGCCAAATCGGGATACCTTTTCTTGCAGTTAGTAGCGTGTCCCGAGAGGGCTCTCATGTTTGAGGTTAGAAATCCACATGCGCATCCAAGGAAACACTGGTCAATGTTACACACGTGTTCACCTGCCTTTAGATGTATCCGGCATTTCGGGCATTGATCCATTCGAATTGGCGGCGTCGTCCACTTGTTATCCTTGATTCGTTTGGCAATTTCTATAGCCAGCTTACATTTAGGCGAGTCTTTTAGACGATTGTTTTCTAGACCTTTAGGTGTTTCGTATATCTTGGGTGCAGGTCCATGACGACTGTGGCTTCGACGTGCTGTTGATCCAACTCTCGGTGGTTTGTTCTCCTTAACCACCTCATATTGGCGAGGTATAATGTTGTTTCGGAAAAATATTTCATTCCTCGTCCTGTTTATCCGATCGAGCTTAATTTGTTCAAATGTAATCGCTGTTTTACACCTACTCTCCATCACGTTCAGTTCGGAAAGTAGCTTTGCATCGGACGGATTCATTTTAGAAGATTTTAACGCAATAGGTGATTCGGAAAGGAAGCTCGTGTCGGATGGGGTTTTTTCCTAATAATTTTGTAAAAGGGTTCCCACTTCTCAAAAGTCAAAACATGCTAAAAATGGCTACATTGCTGCAAAGTAATAATACTAAAAAATACCGCTTTCTACTAAATTAGTGTTGAAATGGTACAGTCGAACTTCCAATAAGATTTGGGAATTCCCTAATCTGTCGATTTGCTTTAAAACCAAAAGCCTTTTTTTACTTTTCCGATCGAAATTTTAAATATAAGAAGATCGGAAAATAAGCATATAAGTTTCCCCAAAAGAATCAGAAAAAAATTTTTCTTTAAGGCATTCACACTCTCAAATGACATTCTGGAAAGTGTTAAAAGTCATCTCTAAATTAAGAGTCCTATAAATTAAAAGCTCGTTAAGTTTTGGAAAACTACATTAATAATCTCGCAATTCGCTGTCGAAACCATAAATGTATTTACCCACTTAAGAGAACACATCCCGGAAGGCCAACAGGTTATGGGAAAATGCTAAAAGTCAATATGACATATTTGGCAATATATGTATCAGTTTCAGTAAAATTAATATGCACACGAGTTCAGTCCAATTAATTTGCATTTAATTTAATACGCTAATGGATGAAGTCTTCATGTTTGGACACATGCCAACTAAAGACGTTCGAATATTTTAGCTTCATTTTTGAATGCAGCCTTTGAATATATTTTATAGCTAAAAACAAGAGAGAACGCTATAGTCGGGTTCGTGTCCCGACTATCTAATACCCGTCACTCGGCTAAAGGGAATGCGAGGGAGATGGATATATATTTTTGGATTGCGTATAACTTTTTAATGAATGGTCCGATTTAAAAAATGTCTTCTACATTTCGATAGGTATAAATATACACAACAAAATTGCATTTATACTTCTCGGAAATCTTTAAAGGTGTGAACGCCAGGCACATTTTAAAATCGTTAGTGGGCGATTGTGGGCGTTAGAGGGAGCGTGGCGCTCGGCTGAAATGAACTTGCGCTGCGTAGGAAGCCCAAGAATATGTGTGGGAAATCTCAACCTTCCAGCTTTTGTAGTTCCTCAGCGTTAATACGGACAGACAGACAGACAGACAGACGGACAGACAGACGGACAGACTGACATGGCTAGATCGACTCGGCTAGTGACCCTGATCAAGAATATATATATACTTTATGGGGTCAGAAACGCTTCCTTCTAGCTGTTACATACTTATACCCTTTTACTCTACGAGTAACGGGTATAACAAGAGAGAACGCTATAGTCGGGTTGTTGTCCCGACTATCTAATACCCGTCACTCAGCTAAAGGGGTGCGAACGCTGTGTCGGGTTGGTGTCCCGACTAATAATCGTAACTCAGCTAAAGGGAGTGCAAGGGAGATAGATATATAATTTTTGATTGCGTATAACTTTTTAATGAATGGTCCGATTTGAAAAATGTCTTCTACATTTCGATAGGTATAAATATACACAACAAAATTGCATTTATACTTCTCATAAATCTTTAAAGATGTGGGCGCAGGACCCATTTTAAAATCGTTAGTGGGCGATTGTGGGCGTTAGAGGGGCGTGGCGCTCGGCTAAAATAAACTTGCGCTGCGTAGGAAGCCAAAGAATATGTGTGGGAAATCTCAACCTTCTAGCTTTTGTAGTTTCTGAGATCTCAGCGTTCATACAGACGGACAGACGGACGACAGACAGACAGACAGACAGACAGACAGACAGACAGACGGACAGACGGACATGGCTAGATCGACTCGGCTAGTGACCCTGATCAAGAATATATATACTTTATGGGGTCGGAAACGCTTCCTTCTAGCTGTTACATACTTTTGCACGAATACAATATACCCTTTTACTCTACGAGTAACGGGTATAACAAGAGAGAACGCTATAGTCGGGTTGTTGTCCCGACTATCTAATACCCGTCACTCAGCTAAAGGGAGTGCGAACGCTGTGTCGGGTTGGTGTCCCGACTAATAATCGTAACTCAGCTAAAGGGAGTGCAAGGGAGATAGATATATAATTTTTGATTGCGTATAACTTTTTAATGAATGGTCCGATTTGAAAAATGTCTTCTACATTTCGATAGGTATAAATATACACAACAAAATTGCATTTATACTTCTCATAAATCTTTAAAGATGTGGGCGCAGGACCCATTTTAAAATCGTTAGTGGGCGATTGTGGGCGTTAGAGGGGGCGTGGCGCTCGGCTAAAATAAACTTGCGCTGCGTAGGAAGCCAAAGAATATGTGTGGGAAATCTCAACCTTCTAGCTTTTGTAGTTTCTGAGATCTCAGCGTTCATACAGACGGACAGACGGACAGACAGACAGACAGACAGACAGACAGACAGACAGACAGACGGACAGACGGACATGGCTAGATCGACTCGGCTAGTGACCCTGATCAAGAATATATATACTTTATGGGGTCGGAAACGCTTCCTTCTAGCTGTTACATACTTTTGCACGAATACAATATACCCTTTTACTCTACGAGTAACGGGTATAACAAGAGAGAACGCTATTGTCGGGTTCGTGTCCCGACTATCTAATACCCGTCACTCGGCTAAAGGGAGTGCGAACGCTGTGTCGGGTTGGTGTCCCGACTAATAATCGTAAGACGGACAGACGGACAGACAGACAGACAGACAGACAGACAGACGGACAGACGGACATGGCTAGATCGACTCGGCTAGTGACCCTGATCAAGAATATATATACTTTATGGGGTCGGAAACGCTTCCTTCTAGCTGTTACATACACCCAAAAAAAAATCCGAAAGTTTACAGTTAATACGCGTTGTATTAAAAGTATACTACAGCTAGTATCAAACTGTCAGTATTAATTTAAAACTAAATAATGTAAGGAGCAGACTCAATAGTGTTAAGTTAAGACTAAATAGTGTTAAGTTTATGTCCTGAGTTTAATTTCTATACCGAAGTTTTCGGTTTTCGTTCCTGGTGTGAAGCCAGGATGCTCTGGTTTGGAACCTGGACATTTCGAACAGAAAAAGTGTTACCGCTTTTTAATGCTATTCGGACGCGTTAGTATTTTAAGGGTTTTACATTAGTGTATTTTGTAAACGACGCTGCGGTCTGTTTAAGGCTTGTTTGTGAAAATTACTTGTGAAAATTTTAATATTTGCTTATTTTGGGCTTATTTGAAATGTAAGTACATTTAAATTGTGTCTTAGTGCATAACTAATGAGTAAATTCTTTTATTTTTACGGACACCACCTTGAATTGCGCTCCAGATGCCGGGAAACTAAGGATCTTGCAATTGGCTTGCACTTTTTCTGACCGCGGCCAGCGCAATGTTAACTTCAATATCAGCGTCCTCGACCAAGATTTGTTATTCATCTGGACGGCGTTCACTCTGGAGATGATCAGCGACATAAGCGGTAAAACGGCATTTGCCCAAATATGCATACATACGTACATATTTTGTACATGTATTGTATTTATATTATTTGTTAAATTAAAAATTACCTTCAGTAATTTATAAAAATGTAAAAAATATGTTTTATAATATATGAAAAGTACAAAACAACATTTTTAAATTTTGTCTCTTTAATACGGGGGTATAATATTTATACTGGCATTATACTAAATAGTATACAAAATAAACTAGCAGCCTGAATTTCAGTACACTGAGTGAGTATAAACTGTATACTCGTTAGTTTAAACTTGACAACTTCGAAAGTTTCATTTTTATACTTTCGAAGTCCATTAGCTTAATACTCAGAGTATCGAGAAATTTTTGACACTCAATAGTTTACTTTTAATGTAGAAATAGTTTAGTTTCTATGATCATTTTTTTTTGGGTGTACTTTTGCACGAATCTAGTATACCCTTTTACTCTACGAGTAACGGGTATAAATACGATTATACTAACTTTGACCTAGTCGTTTAAAAAATAACTTAAAATGTAGTTGGAAAAGTTTATTGGGAAGTTTTAATTAATAAGTAGTTCAAAAAATGTTGTTTTACTTCTTTACAAAATAGTATACTGTTAATATCATAAAACTGTTTATTATTTTTCACATTAAATAGTATTATTACATAAATCTATAATTTCTTAAAATATTTATATATTTAACAATGTTAATTAAGCAAATTTCCAAAAGAGTATAACAAGATTTGGTGTTTGACCATTAAATATATCCGATTCTCATTAGGAATACGATACACTTTATGTGAAGATTGGCATGGGAAAAATAAATTAAAAATTCGTGCCGATATGGTAGACAAACTTGCACCAATATTGACGCCTCATCTGCATAAAACTGAATCGAAACCAGAGAGATTATATACGATTATATACATATCTATAACCCAGAATCGGTGTGAAATATTGAAGCCGCCAAAGCCATTGACGTGCATCGCTGAGCGAAACCAATTTGTTTATTGATGAAAAGAGGAAACAAGAAAACCGAATAAATCGTCTAAAAATAATATCATATTTGGAACTCGTTTATGCTTAGAGTGTTGCTGACCGATCGGAAGGTGCATATTTATGAATTTCGATCAGACTACAATAGCTAAACGATATTAGGTAGTAGTCATTCAAATATATCAAATGTCATCATTTGGGCACCTCGAATTGGGCTTTACACTTTTGATGCGTTTGAGAATATTTTTGGGTATTTGTTGACATATTTGGCTATTTAACGACTTACAACATTCAGTTAATCTGAATCGATACAAATTTATTTAAGTATGATTTATTTAAATTTATTCGCTTGTTCGTCAGCTTGGAAGGTTGATCTTGAGCTTCATAAGATCCGATCACTTTTAAGCCACACTTATAAGGTAGCCCTAATAAAATGGCATTAATTAGAGGAATTAAATTAATAACCATAATCGAATCTCGGCAATATGCATAATTATGGGAAAATGGTATGGGGATCCCCGAGTTAGTGACGACAGCAAAGCCAAGGGTGCTAAATACGTAATCGTTGTACGATCTGTTCTCAGAAATTAACACAAGATTTTGCGTACAAATTGGCAAATCAATAAATCTTTTCAAAGTCTTTGACATATTACCATGTTACCGAAACCCACAACTGACTTCGAATCGAACGCAACATTAGCATTTCCTATCAAGCAGATGGATGATTTCGCTTTCTGTGGCTGTCATAAAGATCAGTTTAACGATCGTCATGTTCTCATCGGATGGATATCTTTTCAAGGCTATGCCCCCAAGTTGATTTATTTAAAACACAAACTATCGACACAGTGGGTGAAAATAATTTATTAAATAATCCAACAGAGAGAAAAATAAAAAAGTAAAAATATAATATTTTTAAAGAATTTTTAATAATAAAATAAGGGTAATGATATGTAGAGTATACATTCATTTATCAAATATCATACTCACAATTCTAAACAGCTCCTAAAAAAATGGACATAAATCCCGTATCATTAAATGATATTTGATATTATTATTTTTTAAGCTTCTCAATAGATTAAAAACAGGTTTCATACCACTGTTTTAGAATATGAAATTTGAAATATCGCATTAAAGGTGCCGCTGGTGACACGAGACGTTTTGTAGTGTTTGGATAAGGCGGATCAGGCGCGGCTAGCAACGGGTTAAGCCAGTTAGATATCTCACTTCGTGTATCAATTAAGCATTAACTCACTTTTATGGCCCAATTTGTTAAACGCACATATTTCAGCGCCTCGCAGACGGATATTACAAATGCGTAAGCCAAAGGAAGGGTTAGACATTTCAAACTGGAAAAGTTAAACACTGAGCAGACCGGAGTGGAACCATAAATTATGCTAAAATCGTATCGAGACTCGTCTGTTTCAAATGCATTTAAATTAAGACTACCTTTTTGGGTGTGCCGCCTGAAACTGAATTTTGAACCAGAAACTGGAGTCTCTAGATCGCGAACCTTATACCAAAGCTGCGACATTGACATTGCCGCATGGGGCGATGCGATCATATTCACTTTTGCTCTTTACAATGCCCACACATCCCATACAGTTCAGGTCAAGCTCTTAGGTCAGCTATCATTAACGTGTGTATTTAAAGATATTATTAGGTATTTATTTAATTAATTATTGTTCTGATGGTTAAAAACTAAATTATTTAGTATATGTTTTTTACCTTAGTACAACGAATTTTAATAAAAGTTATTAAAATAAGCATTAACAAAAAAAATTTTTTTTTTGATTTTTGAACTAAATTTCTGGCTTATGAAATTTTGTTAATGGATAATATGATTTTCCCTTTCTTCAAAGATTTTATTAAAAATTATAAAGAAATTTTGTATTTATAAAGATATTTTAAACTGATATTTTTATCACAGTTTTATGCGTGTGCATACAGCATGATCACAGCATGACATGAATGAAAATTCAAAGAGTCGATTTTAAGATCTTCAGCTCTTTGACCGCTCTTAGGCGCTCTAGTTTACCCAATTTTGGCTAGTTTTATTGTTATTCAGATGAGTTTCCTGCAGTCGGCCGTAAAAGTTGTTTGGGTGGATCTGGCTTCGAGTCGAGAATTCGTATAAAAAGGTTGGCAATCTGCAATTAAGTCACCATTCCGAGTTGTCTCTCAGTTTTAGACACACGCACTCTAAACCAGCAAAGATGTTCCGCTACGTAAGTCAAAAGGATACTTATTCAAAATTAAAAGCTCAAATTAACAAAAAACATTCAAAATGTATCTAATATTTTACAATTCACTCGGTCGCTTTCGAATTAATTTCTTTGTAAAATCGTTGTATTCAAATCCTATTTATCAAAAATGATTTACAACTAATTTGTGATCCTCCTCCTCTTTTGAATAGATGCTCGTCGCCTCCGCTTTCTTGGCCTGCGCTTACGCCGCTGCCAACTACAACCAGGATGCTGGTGCCTACATCACCAAGAGTGGTGTCGATATCACCCCCGAGGGCAGCTACAACTACGCCTACGAGACCAGCAACGGAATCGCCGCCCAGGAGTCCGGATATGGAGGCGCCCACGCCAACGGAGGCTTCTCGTGGTACTCGCCCGAGGGTGAGCTCGTCCAGATCCAGTACGTCGCTGATGAGAACGGCTACCAGCCCCAGGGAGCCCTCCTGCCCACTCCTCCCCCAATCCCAGCTGCCATCCTGAAGTCCTTGGAGTACATCCGCACCCATCCCCCAGTATGTTGAGCCCCAGTACCGCCAGCAGAACAGGAAAGTGTTCGGTTAATCAGTAGAGGAATCCTATCCTGAAAACCTTTTAAAAGCTTTATTACGATTTGTAAAAATGTTATTGTAGAGTTGAAATAAACGAAGAAGTTGTGAAAAAAAATTACACCATTTTATTATTGGGCAAGGATACACGAAAACAAAGATCGATGTAAAATCGATGTTAACAATGCTAAGCTTAAGTAGTGGCAAAAAGCTATGTGCAAAATGGAAATCTGGAAAATCTGTTTTGATGCTCCGATCCGACGTGGTGACAAGGAATAATGATATTTTATACGCATTTTAATAAAATTTATTTAATATTTATCAGAACGACTTTTTTCCAGTGACCGTAAATAATCATTATTTGAGATTTTTATTTTAAAAGGCCTACTGAGGTTTTTACAAGTTTCAATCAACAATTTAACTGGTTCTTATGCATTTTATAGACATGAACAAATAACAGTTAATTTGCTTTCCAGATTTCTTGAAATGAATATACTTTGTGGACAAGAGTAAAAAAACGTTATTTTTGACGTTTAAAACAGAATATCTCAGTAGTCTTTTTAAAATAAAAATCTGAAATAATGATTATTTACGGTCTCGCTTTTTTCTATAGCATGCTTTTATATTTGGGATTACAAGATTCAATAGCTTTTTTATATACTTTTTTTCATTTCATTTTGATAACAAAACACATGTTTTTGTATTCTTCATTATAAAACTTATAATGTGATGAATATCTAGGGAAGATTGATGTATGGATAGTTAAAATGTTTTGATAGATATATCAGCCATAGATGGAAAGGGTCATATTAGACTTTTTTATTTAGTTCTATGTCTATACAAACTTAGCATGGAAATGCATCAATTCACTGAATCAAATGAATTTATATGCAATAGTTTGTGCTCGCTAAAACTATTCTTTGTTTAGAGGGTGGAACAGGAGCACATTTTATTTCAAAGTAGGACATTTTGCATGGTAATATTCAATCTTTTTAGATATTTTCATTGTCCTTTAACAATGCTTTCACCGTTCTTCCTCACTTTCCACTACTAGTAATTGGTAATATATTGCTATGTTCATTTTGGGGGTTAAAATAAATGTTTTTGAACTTATCGGGACTTGTTGTTTAATTATTTATTATGTTCATTAGACAATGCATCACAAACTTGAATAAACAAAAAGAGAACGAGCGCCAGCTCACCAATAACAATTGTTTCTTAAAATATAATATATGTATATAAACAAAGCATTTTTTTAATATTTTTTTTTTTGTTAAATACATTTGTTTGCATTGAAGCAGACCAAAACCCATCTATGGCAATTAGGATATTTCTGAAAACTTAAAAATTAATAGTTAAATTTAAATAAAAAGAAACATTGTAAATATTGATCGATGGCGATGATCTATAATTTATCTTAGTTGCCATCTTAGTTGTAAGATAATAACTAATTGGAAGCCGTGAAAAATATGAATAAATTTAAAACAATTTTACGACATTTCAAGTTTGGCCAGCCATCAAATTAGTTGGCCGAGCTTAAAGTGACGTAAAACTCAAGAGCCGAAGTTTCTGCTAGTGCGTGGCTCGTTACCTTTTTTGAGCCGCTCGTGGCGCTCTAGTTTGGCCAATCTGAGCTTGGCCATTGTTATTCAGATGAGTTTCCTGCAGTTGGCCGTAAAAGTTGTTTGGGTGGATTGCGCTTCGTATCGAGAATTCCTATAAAAACATTAGCGATTTGCCAATGGTCATCATTCAGAGTTGTCTCTTAGTCTCAGACACACGCACTCCTCCAATCCAGCCAAGATGTTCCGCTTTGTAAGCCTAGCCAAATAATAACTAGATAAAAACAGTGAAAACAAAAGATCAACGTAAAATAAAATTACTTGAATTATCAAAGTATTTAAAATAGTTTCACAACCAAAATAGAGCAATGAAAATCAATTATCAAAATCAGATTAAATTTTTTAAAACTGTCAAACAATTTAAAATGTTTAAACACAAAAGATTGCGTTAAATATTGTGGCTTTATATTGATATAATTATTTTTTAGATGCTTATCGCCTCCGCCTTCCTGGTCTGCGCCTTTGCCGCACCCCAGTACAACCAGGATGCTGGTGCCTACATCACCAAGAGTGGTGCCGATATCCAGCCCAATGGCCAGTACAACTACGCCTACGAGACCAGCAATGGAATCGCCGCCCAGGAGTCCGGATATGGAGGTGCCCACGCCACCGGAGGCTTCTCGTGGTACTCGCCCGAGGGTCAACTCGTCCAGATCTCGTACCTGGCCGATGAGAACGGCTACCAGCCCCAGGGAGCCCTCCTGCCCACTCCTCCCCCAATCCCAGCTGCCATCCTGAAGTCCTTGGAGTACATCCGCACCCATCCCCAGTATGTGGAGCCCCAGTACCGCCAGCAGAACAGGAAAGTCTTCGGTTAATCAGTATAGGAACCCCCATGTGATAACCTCTTAAAAGCTTTATTACGATTCGTAAAAATGTTAAAATAAACAAAAAAAAATATTTAAAAATGTTTATAAATTTTCTGATGATTGGGTTTTTAAAAAAACTTTAATTGATTGGATAAAACGGTAGTGCGGAGTCCCCTGATTAACTTCGTTACGTGCTGCTGTTTTTTTCGCCTAATCACTGAGGCGGTCCGTCCTAGTTACCGGCTTATCCAAGAAGGCTACCGCCTTTGTTCCCACTGAAATCTCATTTATTTAACTGGGAAGGAACCAACTACTGGTACCCCTATGCAACATTTTCATTCTCCCTCCGCCTTTGTTCCAATTTTGCGACAGTCGCTGCAGTTAAGAGGATTATTGCCTGGCGAACAAAGAAGGAAATGCCAAGGCTTGTGCCAATTTATTGAAAAATCCCGATTTCAAATCGAGTAAAAATTTTAACGGGCTTCCTTTTTTGCAGTTTTTTTAGTGTTCTCTCTGTTTTTTTTTGGGTTCCTTTATTGTTATTTTTCACCCATTTTCGCGCCGCCTGTCGTCCTTGTCCTTTTTCCAGGTCGGGCGACATTGACCCACGTGTCATCCGGGGTTGGCTACGCTTATTAATGGGCTCAGTTAATGTGACGCACAACCCCTTCGTGCACCCGAAAATTAAATTCCCCCCAACCCTCATTTTTTTGGGTTAAAAAATTGGCAAGTATTTTTGCGCGAAAAAAAATGAGAAAATGTAATTTATTAATTTCGCATGGACGTGTGACAGTTGGTTGCATTCGCCTGATCCTTTATTTACACAATGAGCGGCAGCATTGGGTGACCCTTTTTACCCCCGTAACCCGCGACCCAGTGAGATTTTTATGCGGAAAATGTCAAGAAATTTTTTGTTGCAAAATTCGCATTATCCGTAGAAAATTGCAAGTTTACAATGGGCAAGGGTTCAGGGCAGAAGAGCAGAGCACTTACCCCTTACCCTATAGCCCCTAACCCTAAACCCCTTTTCAGTGTCATGTGAGGATTTTCGATTTTCCATTTCCTTTCAGTACGCTTCATTTGCGCTCAAAAGTAATTTGGTGACCCCTTTAGTTTTTGGGCTAGATTTTACACATTTTCGAAAACTGTCCCATCGGGCAAGGCAACCCTTTCGAAGGGTTTCCATGTTCAACAATGCAGCGGATTGTAAACTCTAATGAAATTTATGTCCGATTCCTTTGACAACTTTTGGGGGCACCACACGCTTCGCACGCGTGTGGATTTCACATTTTCCATTCGAAGAGCAGCTGCCACGATTTCCTCAGTTGGTAGGGTCCAAATGGTTTTTAAAACTACCAAACCAAACTACCCGTGCCGTAAACACGAATACAAACACATACTCGCCGGTATCTTACGTTTTTTTATGGATCTTGTTTACTTATTCGATTTTGATACTATTGGCGCACGCGTCTGTGTTTGCCCACGGCTTTAGGGGCCGCAGCCGGGGGTTTTTTTCCTGGGGTGTCAAAGATAAGGAAACTCTCGGGGTTTTTTGGTGTAAAAATATTCTGGCGTTTTTTGTGAAAAAATTGACTCTAGCCGGCGTGTGAGTTTGGGTTGAATTTTGGGTTTTTAAATCAAGACACGCGTCGTCTAGAAGTGTGTAATGTCTTCACATGCTGGCCCCTGCTTGAGGGCCTACTGTTCCTTTTTTTTTGGGATTTATCGGTGATTATAGGCTGATTATAGGAAAAATTGCTAACACAATTGTGAAATGAACTCTAATTTGGGAATATTAAATGGAATATACTGAAAGTGATTATGTACGCAAAAGATAAGTAAATTCTTCAGATCAGAGGTCATTTATAATAACCCTTTTTACTGAACCCATTTAAAGGACACACTAATCCCTTAGAGCTGTCATTCCTGATAATTATTGATTTACAAAAAAAATTTTTTTGTTCCTAATCATCATTTATATATTTATACTAAAATATCTTAGGTACTTTGGTCAATTATAAATTATAGTTTTAGGTAGCTCCCCACTATATAGTTAGATAAAGCGTTTCAATTGAAAAAAGCTTAAGAAGATTTAAAAGACTTACTACCGCCACTTATCTTATCTTTGGTTCTGCAGTTATTGATGTATTTCTGCTACTCCTCGACCTCTTTCTGAGTTTCTGTTCTCGAACATTTTGCGAGATAAAAGCATAAAAGTCAGCGGCTTTGGGCCAAAGGCTGTTTGCTACTTTATTTTTTTGCCCTGCCTTTTTTACTTGAATAATGCAAACTCCCCCACGGACACACTTTCAAAGTCTGACCACACACACACTGACCGCAATTTCCCCGCGCTTTTCCTTTTCCCTTTTCTTTCCATTTCGATTTCCACTTCCATTTCCCTTAAGCTGCTTACGCACTCAGCAAGCGGTTGTGTGTGTGTGTGTCGTGTGATAGTGCATAAAATTTATTGGCGCTTTGGGGGAGGCGGGAAAATAGGGTTTTCCAAGGGGGTTCGGTCTCCACTTTCACTTCGTCCTGCGACTGGCAGTTTTCCTTGTTGTGGACAAGGCTTTTATAATTTTATGCCATTTCTTTCAATATTTATTTTGTTATTATGTTTTTGTAATGAGTTCAAGTTGTTGTTGCCGCTCTTGTTGTCAACAGGATAGGCAACAACAACAGCAAGAAAAACAAGAAGGTTGTTAGAGGATGGCGTTGAAATTGGAAAAATTGTATCAATAGACGTTTGTCTGCGTATGTGTGTATCGGCCGTGGTGTGAGTGGGCTATTGCCATGGAAAATTCCGCCTGGCATATAAATTAATTAATTTTGTTTTTGCCTCTTTTTTTGTTTGTTGTGTCCTAGGAGGGGGGAGTGGGGGTGTGTGGTCGTAGGCCCATCGAAATTTTGTTTAATGCGTAGTCCATAACATTGAACTACACTTAGATAAATATATTTGTGAACTGAGAAGTCCTTAAAATTAAACATTTTGCAAAACGAATTAAACTAACAAATTATTGGTTTAAAATTTGGCGTTTACCGTTTCATATAAAATTATTTCAATAGATATAATAGATAGGTATAATATAATAATAATAAAATATATTTATCAAATTAAAAACTCTTTCGAATAATACATATTAAAAGTTTTTTAATATTTTGTATATTATAATTCCCGGTAGTTTGGTAAGATATGTATTTTTCCCGTGCACTTATCTTCCATTTTCTCCTTCATTGGCCCATCTCGTGTTTCCTTTTTTTCTGTAGTTGCCACAGTCTAAAGTTACGTTCGTCTCTATTGATTTTCCATAATGAGGCTTATATCGGCCCAACTCCCCTGGTGGAGCCATCGAATTTCATTGCAAAATCACTGCAGGGAAAGTGATGGCCAGGGGCGGGCTGCTGAGGGGTTTGAGGGGGTGGTCGGTGTGGTGAGGCGTAGACTTCAGTCGGGAATAAGAATTCCTGGCTGTCATGGCTGATTGCCAAACAAACAGACACGCACCAACATCTACGCACACACACACACACCCAAGCGGAGCAATTTTATTGTCATCATTTATACATAAAGTGGGGCATCGCTACAAAGTTTCCTTCTGTTGGTCCCACAAAAATTGTAAATTTTTTACGTAAGAGTTTTAAAACAATTTGATTTTTATATTGTTTTTAAAATTTTTTCTGTAATGTCTCGTAATAAGAATAGTTTACTCATCGTTGTAAATAATTTTCTCAATTTTCTTTAAAGTGAGGAATATTTAAAATGATCCTATTAAAATAATTTAATCTATAACAAAAATATGTTATAAATACAGTTAATTAACCAAAACCTAAACTTTTCTAGTATTATCGACAAAAAATTATTTATATAATTTAAAGTATCTAAAGGTTTTGTAAAATATTCACTAACAGCCAATTTTCCCTGTACTTTCACTAGCATTTTTTGCCAACTATTCTCGCACAAGGACAACGCAGGATGTTGGTATTGTTTTTGTAGCTGTCAAGTCAATCCTGACATTATGATTTCTACTCCATCAGCGGCAAGCTGATAGCCCCTCACCACTTCCCATGCTCCCAGAAAAATACAGCCTGCTACCTTTGATAGATTTTTCAATTTATTATCAGCTTGTCAGGCGTTTTTTCGCCCTCTTCCTTGGTTCCTTTTTGTAATTAAGGATAGTAGGGGATAGCAGGTTGGTTAATATTTATTGCTATAAATAATTTTGCAAGTTTTATGCGGCTCAACTTTAATTTGCAAAGCGATAAATAACAAATGGCCCCAGTCCAAAGCCAAATTCCGCTCCCCTTCCAAATTCCGTAGTCCAGATTCCGGACTCACACACATACACACATATGTATGTGGAAAAACCCAAATGGATCCAGGGCCAGCCGTAAAATGAAAGTGAAAAGAAAAGTGGAAAAGTAGCCGGAGCAACAACTGCAAAAAGTGCTGAACGCAGACAAAGTACAAATTGCCCACAAAAATATAAAAACGATGCCAGAAGGAGCAGATGGAGAGGAAGAGAAGGAAGAAAGTTCAATTTACTACTTTTCACTTTAGCATACATTCCACCCACCCAAAAACACAAGGCACACACAGACACTCACTGGGAGGAATTCAAAGGACACCCTCATTTCGGGTGGCCAGCTGGAAATTGGAGAAGCCAGAAGCCTCAGCATCCCACACATGCTTATAGAATTTTCCCGACCCCTCGCCCATTATCCTGGCAACCTTATCCTTGCTCTGGCACTCCCCCAAAAAAACTTTGCCTTTTGCGTTAAATTTTTCTTTTTATTTTGGAATTTCGTTCGATAGTCTCGCTCACACATACATATATATTTAGGTACATATGGTGGTTTATACATATATGCTACGCACACACGAGCATCTAATTTTCTTTTAAGGTCAAGCTGAAATGAAATACAAAAAAGTTTTTTTTTTCGCTTGATGAAAATTACAATTTTCGTCTTATTTTTCTCTCAACTTTCATGCCAAAAGGAAGAAATTGTTTGCCCTCTTGTTGCTTCCGTTCGTTCGCTCGTCCTTTC